GCCCAAACGCCGCGTTTTCCAGACGGAAAGCCTTCCTCTGACTATCATGGCAACATGATATTCAAAAACTGATTGGCTGACTGGATTAGAATTTTCCTGATTGGCCTATCTCTATTGCAAAGGCGGAAAAGGGGGGGAAATTCTGAAATGGCGCGGCTTTGGATAAGGGACGCGGCATTCTGATTGGGTGGTGGCGGGCAAATCATAAGAGGAGGAAGATCGGTGTGACGTCGATCCGTTCTATAATCCATTGGTCGAGCGAGCAGCTAGTTTAGTGGCTAGTGGGAGAACTGCTGCTTTTACGAAGTGGCTCAGCGCCCTTTAACTGCCTGTGGGGGAAAGTGGAATCCGATCTCCATATCAAAAGGAATGCGACGTGCTGCGGTGCTTGCGTTTGATTTAAAGTCTCTGTCCTCACTTTTTTTAAAAAAATGACAAGCAAAGAGATTTCGTACCCTGAGGGGAGAAGCAAGAAAGTATTGGCCGTTTGATATGTCAACGGAGAAACTTCGACACAAATACTTCTTTCTCTGACGATGCAGGGGTGGGGTGGGGTGGGCAGATGATTCCCCAAACGACTGTGAGGTCCAGGTTTTAGACAACCAAAAGTGGGAATCTAGAGAACAGGGGGCACCAAACTTTTCTTTGAGCCACTTCTGATTAATGAAAAATATTGTCAACTCCTACTCCCCCCCCCTCCCACACACACAGCTCAATTCCTATGAGGAAAGGTTAAAGCGCTTAGGGCTCTTTAGCTTGGAGAAACGACGACTGAGGGGTGACATGATTGAGGTTTATAAGATTATGCATGGGATAGAGCAGGTAGAGAAAGAGGTACTTTTCTCCCTTTCTCACAATACAAGAACTCGTGGGCACTCCATGAAATTGCTGAACGGTCGGGTTAGAACGGATAAAAGGAAGTACTTCTTCACCCAAAGAGTGATTAACACATGGAATTCACTGCCACAGGAGGTGGCGGCGGCTACAAGCATGGACGGCTTCAAGAGGGAATTAGATAGGCATATGGAGCAGAGGTCCATCAGTGGCTATTAGCCACAAGGTATAGATAGGGGCTCTGGGGCAAGTGATGCTCTGTCTTCTTGGTGCTTGCGGGGGGGGGGGGCAACAGTGGGAGGGCTTCTAATGTACTGGCCCCACTGGTGGACCTCCTGATGGCACCTGGTATTTTTGGCCACTGTGTGCCAGAGTGTTGGACTAGATGGGCCTTTGGTCTGATCCAACATTGGCATCTCTTATGTTCTTATGTTCTCTGATGCAAAGGCAAAGTTGAGTTGGGTATTCAGTGGTGGACCTACATTTTTGGGACCCTAAAGCTTGAACTGTTATGGGGGGCCCTTCTTAACCAGCAACAATAGGGCAACATCCAACAAGGATATGAAAGGGGTATTAGAGCATATGCTAAGGTCAATATTAAGTACTTCAACCCATTGGCTTATGATTCTGATACTAAAATAGCCTTATTTTAATAAACACATAAATAAAACTCCGTCTATTTTGTTGAAAAATTCACCCATTAAAAAAAAAGTTCCTTCCAGGATTAGGGGCCCTGAAGCTTAAGCTTCATTAGTTTCTTCCCCCCCCCCATTAACTCTTTATTAACAATTAACAAAGAACAAGTAACAATATATGTGAAGTATGTTAAAATTGAAGAACACACATACCCCTTTTTTGGGAATAAACATACACATAAACAATATAAACCTCAATATTTCTCTGAGTAGGCAAACTGTAACCATTCTATCTGATATATAATTAAAACATAACTGTGCAATCAAAATGTAAACCAGAAAGACTAATTGAGGAATTTCCCCTTGAGACAACAAATATTCAAGTATAGGTAACTATATAGAGGAAAAGTAGGACTGTCTAGAGGGCCTGAGCATGTTATCCAGATTATCTGTGAGCTTCGCCATGATGTATAATTTCCACAATTTTTTATGCCACTGGGAGATTGTGATGATTTCCAGGTTAGTGCAATAGTGTTTCTTGCTACATAAACTAGTAAAGACGGCCTTTCTTTAAGTGAGTATGAGCATGTCAAAGATTCCCAGTCTCCCAAGAGTAAATGCTCTGGCGGAAGAGTAAGATTTGTAATGAATTTAACCTGTATCAGTATAGAGTACCAAAAAGGGGTAATCTTAGGGGAGGAGATCCAACAATGAAGGTAACTTCCTATGTCCTAGCAGTTTTTCCAACATTTTGGGTTAAGTGTTGTGGAAGTGTGAGCCAATTTTTTTAGGGGTGAGATACCAGCATGAAATTAAATTAAATGAGTTCAAACGCACATCAATAATTTTGGAGCAGAAAGGAGAGGTGGCCCAAATGGAGGACCAAATATCATCTGGTAATTCAAGTCTACACTCTTTGTTCCAAATGGATTGGTAGGTTAGAGGTCTCTGCATCAAAACAATTCCATAAATGCTTGAAACTACTTTTTTTGGACTGAAATGATACTTTAATAAGGTGTTCAAAATCTTTCAGAGGTTGTTGCATTATATGAAGAAGCTTAATAGAAGAGCTTAGATGTGAAATCTGAAAGTATTGCAACCAAGATATGGAAAATCCCATTTTCATTTCCAGGGCATTCTTTGTCAGTAACATACGATTAGAACAAAGATCTTGAGGCATAATGACACTGGCCTCTTTCCAAGCATCAAATGAAGAGTCTTTATACCCAGGTAAGAACCAGCATTGGTTTAAAAAAATACTGACATCTTGAGATGGGAGGCATTAGGAATAATCTACAACGATCCCAACTGTATAAGCTTCATTAGTTTCATAGTAGATCCACACCCCTGTATGGACCAGGGAAGCTGCTTCAAGTCTCTGGCCATGAAGCAGATGACCCTGGACCATTTCCTTGGCCTAATCAACCTCAGAGTTTTGTTGTGAGATGGGGAGGGTGGGGGAGAGATCAAGGCTGGCTTTGCTGATTTAATGGTACTGGAAACAGGGGGGGGGGGAACCCAACCTTAGCAAGAATTTATGTTTTTATTCAAGACACTCAGAATTACTTGGGCACACAGATGTACTATGATTATAATACAGTGGCAGCAATTTAATTGTTTCTAGCTAATGATTCTAGCTGCATTTTCAAATTCACTTCCCCTGAGAGCTGAATGTGGGAACTGTAATATACAATAGACAGTGTCTTAAGACATGTTGTAATTACATATATTTATAACAACTTACTGTACAAAAAATCCATGAGTTATAGTTCATCCCTTCAACATTTACCTTTACTGAATATGTCAGCTGCTTTTAAAATACGACTAGCAAATCCATGCTGAATACACATATTGCATACAGTATTAAAGAGTCTCCAGTACTTGTCCAAAATGGTCATTCTGCATTTTAAGGTTTTGTGGAATGTCAAGAATTATGATAACTGTTGGAATATGCTAATGTTGTAGCTGTTAGCACTGCCTTGTAAAATGCATGGAGTGGAAATACGAATCAGCTTAACTCAAAGCATTCGCAATATTAAGATTGGTAGCTGTGTTTGCTCTGTAGCCGTAGAAAAGAGCAAGAGTCCAGTAGCACCATAAGGACCAGTGTTCCCTCTAAGCTGAGTTAGTGTGAGCTAGCTCAGTTTTTTAAGCCTCCAGCACACATTTTTGTCTTAGCTCAAGAAGGATGGCTACAGAGCAAACTAATTTATGCAGTAGCCAAATCGCTCACTCACAACTATAATGCCAGTAGCTCACAAAGTAGAATTTTTGCTCACAAAGTAGAATTTTTGCTCACAAGACTCTGCAGCTTAGAGGGAGCATTGGTAAGGACTAAAAAAATTTGTGGCAAGGGTATGAGCTTTTGTGAGTCCCTGCTCACTTCCCTCAGATACACCTAGAATGTGAGTCCACCTGACCTATATATTGGAAAGTGGAGTGATTTCAAATGCTGAATGACATTAGCAGGCAAATGACAATAGCAGGTGAATGTCGGGGAACATTTTAACCTTCCAGGACATTCAGTTGCTGACCTAAGAGTGGCAGTTCTCTTACAAATGAATTTCAAAGTGAGATTAAAGAGACTGCTGAATTGCAACGAATAATTAAGCTGAAGACAATGCATCCACCTGGACTTGAGACCGAGGTTTCCTGTCTCATTACCAGTGCTGATTTTTCCATGCTTGCTACCCCTCTGCATATCACACTTACTAATCTTGTCATTCCCCTGGTATTGTCATTTGTTGCTGTACTCAGCACACTGTGTTGAAATTTCAAAGGTGCCCACAGGCTCAAAAAGATTGGAGACTGCTTTCTGTTGGGGGGGGGGGGGGCCACACACCGGTCTTTTACGATCTTTGTCACTGCCTTGTGGGGGGGGGGGGGGGGACACACACCGGTCTCTCTACTACCTACACACCTGTAGCCTGTAGGGATGATATTGTTCAGATATAACCTTAGACCATGGGTTGATATGTTTTCACTTTCTCTCATGTACTTAGAGCTGATCACTTCCAATTTAGAACAAACCAGAGTTCAGTGTTAAAACTGAACAGTCAAATTGTGATCTAGATTTCCAATCCAAAATGTTTTCAGATTATGGTTTGCTTGCAGAGTTGGCATCCAAACTATGATTTGTGTTATTGATTTTGAGCATTAAAATGTAGGGGGGAGTGTATGAAAACAGGATTCTGTCCCTTAGCACCAATCTGTGGTTTGGTGCTATGGACCATCTGGAATATCCCCCATGCTTCTATGTATCAGTGATTCCACAAATGTCCCAGCACTGGATTGGGGGGGGGGGGGTGTTGTTGTTTTTTCTCTCTACAGTGGCTGATACAGGAACCTTTTTTTGTAGGAGGGAGAAGGCAATAGGCAATATCTCTGTGGTATAAAGGAACTCCTTATAGTTCGAATATTTGGGAAAGGTGCTTCATATTTTAAAACTTCTGACTGCTTAAACAGTTTACTTGAAATTCAAATTCAAACACACAGGCAGAATTGTTTTATAACTGCAAATGAGTTATTTCAACTTCATTTATTTAGAGACAAACATACACCACATTTTTAAAAAGCCACAGGATACTGGGCAAAGCATTAAAACATGTATATTTTAAATTAAGCCCAATAAATTTGTTAAAATACTCTGCTACAATGATTGTATGCTAGTTTTTTCAACATCTGAGTCTTCTGTGAAGGCTTAAATGCAATAGAAACATTCATTCAGACTACAGTTCAGTAAGTATTCAAGGTAAAAGAACATAATTGTAAAAACTTAATACAATGTCTAAATCATTGTACTTAAAATGCTTATCACTGTATGTAATATTCCCTGTCACATGCCTTGATATACACTGGAAGCACTTGATATTATTTGCCAGACTTGAATGTACTAGTGTTTTGGTTTAGTATTTCCCTGAGTATCTAAATCCCAGCATCACATTGTATACAAACATTGTTTCTTTGGAAGCAAGTTATAACAGAGATTTTGATTATAAGGCCTTGTAGTTACATAAGCCAAAATACAGGCAAACAATTTTTCATTCTGTAAAACTCATAGCTATATAAAAATAGCTAGGAAAGTAAGTTTAACCTCAGAATTTTGCACCCATATGAAATAAAATTTGACATTTCCTCTGGTTTTCATAATTTGAGATGGCTCAATGGCCAAAGATCTTTCTCAGAACATAGTTTATAATGAACCAAAGTTGCGAACAGCTCCAAGGTCCCCCCCCCCCCCGACAGCAAAGTTAGGCTAGTAAGGAATCAAAAGACTGTGCCCAACTCCCAAAAGTTACAGCACTAATGTCTACCATAATGCATTATTTGAAGTCCTTGTATGGTTTGTGTCACCCTTAACAATTTTTAACTAAAACTGAGTGGTTTAATAACCTGCTTGGTAGCAATTTGCTGCGTGTTTTTAGGTGCAATACATTTCTTAAATTCCAAACTTTAATTCAGTGGTTGCAGCTGCATTGAGAAAATTCACCACTCAAGTTCAACAGGGTATTCTCCAACAAGGCAAGCTATGCAATGGCCAACTTTCCCAGTGCGAAACGTGTTGGTCTTTATGTTGTTTCCGCTGTCATGCTTTGCTCTGATACTTTCTTGAACAGATGATACCAATCCTTCTACCGAAAGGTAAACAACACTGTCAGCTCCTAAAGGGGGGCAGGAGGAGATAAATTAATTTAAAGCTATATTACTTTGCTTAAAGTAGACTTCTGAAAATCAGTCCGTTAACCCAAAAATGCTGAGCCTCTGGAATCCAAACTAAAATGTATAAGACTGGGTCATGCTAACAGTGAATATCCTAGGAGATGGCATTCAGTAACCGAAACACTATGCCAGTAAAAACAGTAGGCAAACTCTGGCCACAAAACAACTCCTTTCAACATTCCCCATTAGTTCATACAATTCCGTGCAAAATTGCTCTATTCAGCTATACACCTTCTCCTCTCATAATTAAGCATGAAAGTAATTATTCTTTTCCATTTGCACAATTTAGCCCCACACTCCCAACAAATATCTGAGGCATAATTTTACTTGAAACTTTCAGTAATAATCAGAACTCTGAATATACCTTGAATTGTGTGCTTAAATGCCACTGTCTTACCATGAACGTTCTTTGGATTACAACCACTGGATTTTTTAAAAGTGATGCATTAAAAGTGCATCAAAAGAACTACTACAGAAGAACAGGTACACAGTTCTTAGTTCCAAATAAATGTATCAGAGGTCAGCCAAAGGCAGCTCAAAGAATTTCTGTAGATAAGCAATTGGATCTGCAGTAAATCTGCAGACAGAAGGGATTTCCATCAGCAGAATGAGACTTTCTGGCTCCCCCTCTCATGTGGTAGCCCAAAATTATTCCCGGAAAGGTCCTCCTGGGGGGAACAGGGTATCCCGGAACAGGATGGCCAGGTGTGTTGGGGCTCTGCATCAGGAGATGGGGAAAATCAGCAAAAGTAAATTCCTCCTATTAGCAGAAATTTACCACTGGATCCAAGTCGACACCTCGCTTTTACACACAGCTTTAAAATAAACATGACATTTTACCTATGTAGTTAGCCAGGTCATGAAATTCAGGCTTGTTGGCAATGAGTTCTTCTTTTGTTGGTATGTTTATTCCCATGTAACAAGGAAATCTTATTGGAGGTGAAGCCACACGGATGTGTACCTGAACGAAGATACATTATTAGGATACTGGGTTTTGACCGCACTATTCACTTGCCTGCACAAGATTCAAAGTCACTGCAGCAATGGGCTAAAGGTATCTATTTCTTAACAGAGCTAAGTGAATTTGCATTTGCTTTTGAGGAGAGGAGGGACAGAATGAACATCAGGAAGATGAAAATAACTGAGTGGACACTTACACCTAGGTGTGAGAGAAAAGGAACAAACAAGTATTGTGTCCACATCCTTTCCTCCCCACGGCTTCTTTCCTTTTCTAGGATACTGATAAATGGCTGCAAACTGAAACAAGAGCAATTCATCTTGTCTCCATCTCAGAACTACAAGCAACATTCACTTACCTCTTTGGCGCCAGATTCTCTCAATAGTTTAATTATGGGTGAAATGGTATTGCCTCGTACAATGGAATCATCAATAAGAACAACGCGTTTCCCTTTGAAGTTGTCGGACAATACTCCAAACTTTTTGGCCACTCCAAGCTGTCTTAACCTCATGTTTGGCTGAATGAATGTTCTTCCTACATATCTGTTTTTGCACAATACTTCGATGTAGGGTAACCCACACTGAAAACAGAAAGAATTTAAAGAACAGTACTTGATGACCTAGTTCTGGCCAACGTTTCTTAACTCTTCTACTCACAGATGCTTCGAGTAAGCAGAAACAGTCCAATTTTACATTACACCTCATAAGAACCTAATATTTCTTTACTACACTTTTCATCCTACATGGTTTTTGTTCATTATGATCATGTGGTCACCAGCACAGCATTTCTGCATTGTTAAAGGACATACCCTCCCTCTCCTTTTTTACAGGAAGAAAAGCTGGTTGGATCCAAGCAACTGATTTCAGAAGGGCTTATTTCCAAGTAAAGATATTTAGGACTGCAGCCCAGATATCTATACCTAGAAATCTATTCTCCAAACTATCCTGGAAAGAACCTCCTCTTTAGGCCACAATATGCTAACAGATTATTTGTATATTATGTATTTGGGTGACATTTTTCATTCAGAAGACTGATCAATTCAAAGAATGAAGTAACACATTACTGGGTATCTTGAGGATTCCATCACAGCAATTAATGTAATATCCAGCTCTTGAAAAGATCACACCAACTGAAGCAGTGGAGATCAGGCTGTTGTGTTGCATTGCTAATGGGAATGCACCATCATGAAGGGGGAGGGGGTTGCTTAAGGAAACATGAAACTTTAAAAGCTTATTCCAATTTGAATCCTATCAGCAGAAACATCTAAAACATTTAGTCACTGGACTCAAGGCTTTGGAATGCATCACCTAATGACATAAACTGAGAACAATAGCTAAAATGGTTATTTTAAACTAGCACAGATGTTCCAGGATGACTTTAAAAAATGTATTTTAACTTCTTATTTGCTGTTTTGAATTACATGACAAATATTTGCATTAAAGGTATTTCTTCAAGAAAAATAATACCAGGAAAAGACAATAAAAATAAAACCAGGAAAAAACATCCAAAAGTACCTTTTGTGCGTAGCCGAGGGCTGCTGGAGTTGCAGATTCTGGGACTGTGCTAACCAAATCTGCTTCCACCGGGGCTTCAATAGCTAGCTGTTGGCCACATCTCCTCCTTACAGAATATACCATCTGACCTATGGAGATTGAGAAAAGCTGAGTTTTTCTATACATATTGATGTGGATGTCTGTTTTTCACTGTTGGCTTTCATATCTCAAGGTGTATTTCTACAGGAATAGAAGTCCAGACCAAGTCTGTACAGCAATTTAATCTGTAGGCAAAGACCACCATAGTAACTGTTGCAACCCAAAGCCGCTATGGCCCTTTTGAACATCCCCCCTCAAACAAGCACCAGCTAAAGGGAAGGACTACTTGGAGACAGCCTTGTTTGCCCAAGCCACCATTCCCGTTCTCATCTGGCCTGCACACAGTGTATAATTAATTTATGGAATTCACTGCCAGGAGAAGTAGAAAAAGCCTTAAGCTTAGATGGCTTTAAAAGAGGACTAGACAAGTTCTTAGAGGACAGGCATCCACAGCAGCTATTAGCCATGATGGTTAGATACAATGTCCATTTTCACAGGCAATACACCTCTGAACACCAGTTGCAGGGGGGGCAGTAACATGAAAGGCTGCTGTTTTCAGGCATGCTTATGAGGTTCCTGAAGACATAAGGTTGAGCATTGTGGATGGTCAGGATGCTGGACTGGATGGACCCATGGTCTAACTGAGCATGGTATCTGTGTGCTCTCAAGAGACAGCCGTACAAGACACTCCTTAGAATGCCCAGACAGAGACAAGGTGTGACAAAGCACTTGCTGTATGGAATGGATCAGATCAGACAGAGGAAATGAAACATCAGGTGTAACAAACTTTCTAATGGGGCAGGCCTCAGCAGAGTTACACTCTATTGAAGTTAGGATTGCACTATTATGTCAAGCAGGTACAGGTTTTAGCAATTACAATAAAAGTATCCTTGAGTTCACATTTATGGTATAAAATATTAAAAGCTGTGAGCACATTTTTTTATTTTGTTTATTTTAACAGGAAGACCAGAGAATCAGAAAAATTAGGGATGTGCATTGTATTTTGGATTTCCAATATAATTTCCTTGCTATGTATCCAAGCAAGTGGGCATATAAGCCTCAGATTTCCCAAATTGACTATACATGAAGTACTGTGATGTTACCAACAGAAGTTCATGGATTTTTCATTTTTTTTTTTACATAGAACCAGAACTCTCTCAATAACTCTGTTGTAGAGGTGGCCCATTCATTAGGCAGTCTAGGACAACAGAGGGTGGGGCAACACCAACACCGGGCACTCATGACTGCCAAATTCAGTCTCAATATACTGATGATACCCTCTAGAAACACTGAAATAGGTCAGATGTGAATAAAATTCCTTTAGTGACACCTTTCTGACATATTCTCAAAAAAAACATGCCCAGCCTTTCCACAGACTTTTCAAAAAATCTTCCTAGTACAAGGTCAATCCATTTAAACTTGACAAAATAGATTTTGTCACTTGCCTTCAAAGATGCTGTCGGGTCTCGCAAAATATACATATTCAAAAATACAGAATGCTGATGCATCTCCTTCAGGTCTTGGTACAACATCCAAGGTTTGGACATCATGTCTGGATATCTTCACAATTTCTCCAGGCATGACTTCACGATAATACCTTAAAAATAAGTTTGCATGTGTTAGAAATCCCCATAAACCCTATTTTTATACATGTTGCAATCTGAAAATTAATTAAACAATGCTGAGCCTTTGGACTGGAAATATGCAGTAGGATCCACATTCCCCTGCAGTGTTATCATTGCTGGTAATAGGAAGGGGGGGGGGGAGAACCAGGAATGCAGGCCTGAGTTCATCAGAGGAATGGCAAGCTAAAAATATGATACAGGAGAGAAAGTAAAGCTCAGCTCCTCTCTCCTTCTCTCTCTTTTAAATGCAAATTTCTAAAGCTTTTATGGCTATGAAGAGATGTTTGAAAATGTGGGCAATGGTGGAATGGGATTGGGAACGGGACTTTAATGCCCACTGCAGCTTGGCCTCCTTGTGACAGCCATAATAAAACAGTGCAAAATGCAAGAAATCACAAAAACCATCAGTTTTGGAAAAACCGGCACAGAGCAGCAAATTCGCCTTTTCCTGACACCGGATTTTAATTTTTCTCCCCCTTTCATTGCACACCGTTAAAATTAGCTTCCATGGTAACTTGGAGAGATATTGAAATATCACAGAAGGTCAGATTAATGCTTCACCTGACATAGCAGAAATATTGCTAGAGTTTAAGTGCTTGTTTCATGGCTACCCAAGCAGAAGGCAAATATTAAAAACTAAGTGCAGACAAGCTGCCAGTAAGCTGCACAAACATACATACTACAAGACCATATGTTTAAATGCCTTAAAAATAGAAGCATGTTATTAATTCAAATTTATGCTTTAATTTAAGTGGATCTGCTAATACCTGCCACTCAAAATTCTTGTGTCAAACCTGACGGTGTCTCATTATTAGTTATTCAGTTGCTATTAGGCACATCTTGTGTACTGGCATTACATTAGTCTACCACCTTCCAATTTAATACCATAATGACCAGATGCTCTATTAATGGTGAAAATCCAAGTATCTAAAGGCTCCTTAAATTTTAAATCAGTTGTAATGTTTTCTCCTAGTCACTGTAACGTGTGGTGGCACTAAACTATGTGATATGATGTCATCACATCATGCATTTTTCCCCTAACCACACCCTCCCCATATTATTGACTATTGGAGGCAAAAATACACACTATGTTGATGTCTTGTCACATTATAAGTTTATGGTGGATTAAGGAAGAACTTGATATAGGAGGTACATTGTTTGTGGTAGTTCCACATCTCCACAATGTGTAGTATGTCTATGAAAACTTTAGCAATTTCTCCCATTTGCTTATTCATAAAATTGTGGAATTCAAGTCAATTATTCCAGAAGTTCTTAGCTTAACAAAGTATTGTGCCTATTCCTGAATTCCTTATTCTTATTTCAGAGTATTCCTGTGCAATTCTATACAGCTACACTGTCTCTGTTCTCAAAACACTGCATATAATAAGAGACAGACTCAACAGTTGTATAGACACAAATTAGTTAATGGAATGAATGTGCTGTTTCCAAACCTCACTGATAGACCCAGGGAGCCTAGTTGGCTCTGTGCTGTTAATAAGTAGTTGGTTTTCACAGATGAACCATCACCTGTCTACTCCTCTAAATAAAGACTTGTCATGCAATTTAGCTTCCTTAACATCACTGGAAGTTTTGCTAGTGACTAACAGGATTCAGATTTTCAAACTATTGCTATCTTGCTGTATTACAAAATGGCAAAAACTACCCAGTGATTGAATATCAGTTTATGTGTAAAGAACTTATAATAAACACACTTACTCTGCACCAATAGATAAAAAGCTACAGGATTCTGAGGAAACTACCCATCCTTCTGTTTCACAGATATTTTTCCCTGTAACAGAGTGCAAAACTGTAGTTAGAGTGCTTTCACAATCTTGTATCATTAAAATTTGTTGCAAAGGCCCATTACCTTTTTCAAATTATATAACAGAGTTGATCATTTTTCAATACAAAGTCCGAGAGGTTTAGCTCCCTGGTAATTACATAGCTTGTAAAAACACTGAGTATAAATAAGCCTACAATGTTATCTTGAAACTAAATAAACTTATTCATTTACAAATGAGTGAAAACAGGTAACAAAGAAACCCTTTGCTTTCATATGTTTTGAGGTGAATATGAAACGGAGAAACACATTTCTATCAGTAGATTATTTGTTTTCATCTGGATGAAATTCTCAGGATCATATCCTTTACCCAAGCAACCCTTCTCTGTTTACTCTGTTTAAGAGTATTTAAAATATTTCTGAAAATACTCTGGATGCATATTCTTGTCACATTACAGGGTTTCCTTGTGTTAAGAAAACACTTCTAACATCCCAAATAATATGGGCAAATTCTTGAAAATTATTACTTGTCATATAAAAAATTATTTCAAGACCGTCTTAATAAATTGTCCTAGCATGCATTGCTTTCACAGAAGAAATGGGCCAGCTGTATAAGAGATGTTCTCTTAATTATCCTTTGTATTTCCCCCATTTTTATAACTTTTAAATTGTTACTGTATCTAGTAGTGAAGCAAAACCAAGCAATTCACAAAAAGCAGCATTTTTACTCTAATTTCCAAGTATGCAGAAATATTTGACTTTGTAAATTAACCAAGGTGTTTTTTTAAAAAAAAAAGTGGTTGTAATGATTTCATGTTTTGGTGTATGTGTTTCTTTAAATGTTTAGTTTGACTGCAGTAATGTAAGGAGACTGATGGAGGGAGATGAGTGTGATGTCATTGGCTCATGACTGAGCATATGGGAGGAGGGGTGTCTCTGAGGTGATTGTGTGTTTTTTTTGGGAGGGTGAGACGAGTGTGGAGGGTGGTTGTTTTTAGCCTGTAAGGCAGAAGAAGCAGTTTATCCTGTGTGGCTAAGACAAACTGTTTAGCGTGTGTGGCTAAGACAGACAGTTTAGCTTGTGTGACTAAGGCCCCGGTCACATGGCAAAGTTGCCACGGGAGAGGCACGGAAGGTGGGCGGATTATCCAGGTGCGATCACACCCCAATATCTGGGAACTGGAACGCACCCGTGGCTTACCGCCGACAATGCGCATTTAAAAACTAGTACCTCCAAGGTACTAGTAAACGTTTGCCATGGGCTGCCTCCAGACGCCCATGGTGTGATTGCACCAGTGCACGGCATTCCCCTCCAGTCCCTCGTTTACCCGCTGGCGACAAGGGAAGGACCCGTGCTGTGCCGCCGGCACGTCTGATCGCGTAATTGTGAATCAAACTGCGCTGGGGCAATTAGCCACACCTCCCCCCTGTGATATCCGGCCCGGGTCCCCAGAGCCTAAGAGAGGCAGAGTTTAGCCTGTGCGACTAAGGCTGTCAGAGTTGAGTTTTGGTGTTTTGAGAGACAGTGTGCGACGTCAAGCTTTATCAGTAATATTTATAACTACCTTTCTTCAGCAACAGTTCAAGAATACCCAGAAACCTATTTTGTTCTTTTATAAATAAAACATTATTTGTTTAAACTTATCCCAGCAGTCAGAACAGTCCTTCCTCAGGGCCACATAGTCCTCTGAACTGCCCAGACACAGGGTCATTCTACCATAATAGAATGATTTGGAATTTTTAATTCCTGGTGGCAGCAGTAATCTACTAAAAGTTTATGTGAACAGAGTGTGTTTTAAAGGATAAATAGTCTCCCCATTAAGGAGGATGTCACAGTGGTAGTTAAATGAACACAAATTCAGCCTGCTTAAGCATGGTCCAAATATAAACATACTGATAGGCTAAGTAAATCTCACCTTTTCCATTAATATCACCTACTGGAACAAGGCGGCCAATGCAGAGTGGACGGTTCCCATAGGGATCTCGCACTGCATAAATAATATCTTTATGCATCACCAGAAGGGAATATGAAGTAGGTGTTTCATTCATCAAGTTTTTGATCCTGAAACATGAGAATTAATTCAACATATTGTCTTTATTGATGCTAAGAATTCAGACTACTGTTATCAGTTTTTTGCAATCGTACAGCTGTTGCCAGTTCCCGTTCTTTCTCTTCAAACTGGATTCTTTACCTTGCTACCCAGTCTGGGATATCGTCATGCTCCATTGGGGGAGTGAATGCCAGCAGCTGAGTGATCAGTTCACTGTCAGAACTGGTGGATAATCCTACTCCATGGCGCATTAGCTATTAAATAAAGGACAAAAAAGCCACCATCATATATATACAACTATTTAACACAGTTTCAACAGACTTAAATTTCCTGAAGATAAAGTGAGCATGAAGCAGTTAGATGCATACATCTGTCAACTATTTGAAGAATAGGTAAAGGTAAAGGTTCCCTTGCTCGAAAGCCAGTCGAATCCGACTCTAGGGTTGCGGTGCTCATCTCCGTTTCAAAGCCGAAGAGCCAGCGCTGTCCGAAGACGTTTCCGTGGTCATGTGGCCGGCATGACTAAACACCGAGGCGCACGGAACGCTGTTACCTTCCCACCAAAGTGGTCCCTATTTATCTACTTGCAATTTCTTGCTTTCGAACTGCTAGGTTGGCAGGAGCTGGAACTAGAGATGGGAGCTCACTCCATCATGCGGCACCCGGGTCTCGAACTGCTGAACTACTGACCTTCCACAGCCTGCAGTTCAGTGTCTTAACCACTTGAGCCACCGGAGCTAAGAACATCAATAGTTCAGATGGCTAGCCATCGTTCCTTCTTCCTAGGAAATACTGAAAATTGTAGTTCTGGGGAAAGAATGACTGGAGGGGGAGACAGGAATTTTAAACAGAATTCTCAACACCCTTATCAAACTGCAATCCCCAAGATTCTTTGGGGGAAAGTCATAATAATTAGTGTATAAAAGCAATATAAGTTTATGGTATACACGGCTATTTTTGAGCAGGAACGCACAGGAACGGAGTTCCGGCTGGCTCCCAAGTTGGCCACGCCCAGCAGGAACTCATTAGCATAATAGGCCACACCCAACAGCAGTAACTCATTAGGATTGGCTACATTAGGGGCGTGTGGCCTAACATGCAAAGGAGTTCCTGCTACAAAAACAGGCCCTGGATTTTGACAACAAACAAGGTAAACAGAATAACAAGCAAAAGGTGGGTGTGGCTGGATAACCACACTTCTGGTAACATGGGGGTGTGGCCTAATGTGCTAATGAGCTGTGCTGTCAGGGGTGTGACCCAATATGCTAATGAGTTCCTGCTGTTGGGTGTGACCTATTATGGTAATGAGTTCCTGCTGGGCTTTTTCTACAAAGAGCCCTGGAAGCCATAAGGTACTTTCTCATGTTCCAAAGTATCAAAAAAAGCCTGTTTTCTTACTAACTTTGTAATTTTCTGTATGTTTCAGAAAAATGGGGAACTCATAAATCTTCCCACCATAGAGCGATGCATATGTGACCAATGCAGGTAAAAGTTCTTGACTTTCTCCCTACTTTACGAAGCAATAGGTCCGAGTCCATTCTTATGAGAAGAGTGAAAAGAACATTGGAACTAGATATGGAAGGGAACATGGCTGACAGCAAGATAATAGAGAAGTTTGGTTTATTTTTATGTATAGTGTTTAATACAGAAGCTTCTCTCTCTTTTAGGAGGTACCAAATTTTGCACAGAAAACCCCCAGGAGAAAGAGCACCAACAGTAATAGAACGCAGTGTGACAAGTGGGCTGAATCCCACCCCCAACGTTAAGTAACAGATTGTCGGGAAACTTGGAAGTATTAATGGTTCCTAACAAATATGCATTTTCTTACCGCAAACAAAACATGGTTCTGGCCATGTGTAGTTACTTTCTGAGCATGAGGGATGCCAGCCTCCACGTAGGACCTGGGGATCCCCTGGAATTACAGCTCATCACCAGACTACAGAGATCAGTCCCCCTGGAGAAAATGGATGCTTTGGAGGGTAGACTCTATGGCAGTGTACCCCACTGAGGTCCCTGTCCTCCGCGGACTCAGTCCCCAAATCTCAAGGCCTTTCCCAACCTGGAGTTGGCAATCCTACCCCCCCATCCCCACCAGTGGCCAGGGGGGACCTGGCAACCCTAAGAGGAAGCACAGTTTAAAAATACTAGGCTAATTCCTACCTTTCTTCTCAGTCGTGCTGCATTTGTCAACTCTCCATTGTGGGCCACAGCAATCTTCCCGTGCAGTGTTTCCACAACAAATGGTTGGCAGTTATCTAGTACAGAGACACCCGAGGTGGAGTATCTTGTGTGGCCAATTCCAAGATTTGAAACATACAACTTTTTCAGACTGTCTTCACTGAACACATGATTAACCAGACCCATTCCCTGTAAAACAGAAAGGGAATTGAGTAGGCGACCCCAGGCAAACTAAAACTTGTCAATATACATGAAGACAAACACACTCACAAAAATTCCTGTCACTTCAGCTTTTTCTGTCTGATCAGTAAAGTGAGCCTACAATCTTTAAAAAAACGTGTCTTCCTCAACAGGCCAAGGGCTTTCTGGTCTATGATTTAATAATAACAATATTCTGTGGCAAACCTTGGGCCAAAACTGTATGTGACAATAGTTGTTCCACGTTTTGAACCACAGAGCTGTTTCAGCCTTTGGTGGTCCAACTTTAACTGCAAAAAGGGGAGTATGGGGAAGGAGCACTAAAGCTGTTTAAAACCCCACCTCCCCTCAGTGAGGAAAAAGTGCATCTCGTTTTAAAGTGCAGCTGAGGAGAACTGAACAGGGTATATGATATGGACACGGGGGTGATGGCAGTGGGCTCCTATGCTTCTCACTTGCATGCTCCTTCTTTGTACATGAATTGAATAGTTATATGGAACTATCATATCTCATTGGGCCCTTAAGCTAAGTTACCTCACATAGTTATTGCAAGGCTAAAGCACACTGCCTTCTCCTTAGATAATAAAGGCAGATTGGTGACTGGACTAGTGAAATGCAGGGTCAAAATATGTATGAATCACAATTTAAGTACTTTAAGTCCGGAGCTTGTTAACCTCTTCCTGATACAAGTCAGCTATAGTTGACCTGTTGTTTAATATGATAGATTCTGAGTGCTCCTTTTTACCATGGTATTACTGCACCTTTCTTGTGAGTGAAGGAAAAAGGATATTGTTTTATTTTCAAATTATTTGTTTTCAAACTATTGCAATTCGAAAACTCCTGAGGAACTGCAAATAATGCATTAGAAAACAAGGGAATTTGGGGATGGTTTTGGATAAGAGGCAGAAGTGGGATATGATATTGTCACAGGAGCCCGAGGAGGACCCGTCACTCTCCTCTTCGCTCGAGCTCCCCAAAGGCCCGGGTTCAGCCACTTTGTTTCACCCGCCTTCTCCTGGCTCCTCCCCCCCGGAGGGTAATGGCCTCAGACACCTGGAGTGTAAAGGCGGTTACGTCACCTTTCCTTTACCACTCCCTGCTGGATGTTCTCCCCGTGTCTCTCTCTGTGCTTTCTCACATCCAGGAGTCATCCCCGGCCTCCTCCGTTCCCTCCTTTTTATTTCCCCTTCCTCCTCCCAGTGTGCATCAGTCCTGTCCTGCCTCCCCTCTCGTTCTGGCTCCGCCCCCTCATAAAGCCTGGGACGCCCTACCCGGGGTGTGGCCTCCCTTCCGGCCCGCCGGGCTCCTGTCCATGGAGCCCGGCTGCGTGGGCGTGCCCTCGAGCCGGGCCTCTGGCCCGGCGCGGCCTCTCTTGCCGCGGCATCCGCTCCAGAGTCTCCCAGCCCGGAGCCTGTACGAGGCCGTCCGCTGTCGTTTCCAGCGCGGCCGCCCGTTTCCCCTGCTGTGTCGGGTTCCCCTCCCCGCCGTGCCTCTGCCCCGCCCGCTCCTCTCTCGGCCGCCGGAGGACCGACCCCCGCCGTCCCCACTCCTCCCCGCTCGATGGGCGGCCCCGGTAAGCGTCGGTGGGTGCGGGCTCCTTCTCCCCGGCGTTGCGCCGGGGTGGCTGGTTTCGGTGGGGTTGGGGGTGCAGTCGGTGGGGGTGGGGGTGCAGTCCCGCCATCGGGACAGATATTTATGCATTTATTTACAGAGTTTATACCCCCGTCTTTCTGCCCTTCAAAACATACAACATATAATGACATTATAAAACTATTAAAATCAACACTCCTCCTAAACATACATCATTAAAATATATTGTAGGATAACTGGTTAGGAGGATGCTCATATCAAAGACAAATGACTAAGAAAGAGAAAGCAGATTATAAAATAACTTTCTTCAGATTTTGGGCCCATATAAGCGCTAATGCCTGTCTTCCAGTTTCTCTCTGTCTACTGCCTGCACCTATTTATTCTTCTATACACAATTCCTTAAAGCTTACAATAGAAGTTCTCACCATCAAGTTTATCCCTCATTTGCCATACGATAAATAGATAAATAAATATCCCTCATTTATGTGTGGTATATGCTCCTCAGTTTTATGAATAATCTTTTTAAGATGGTAAGAAGAGGTCAGATTCTTTATTACTACTTCTTTTAAGAACATAAATAATAAACAACCTTTCCATTTTACCTTGTGCACTTTGAAGGATTGGGCTGATTCTCCATCACTTGTCACAATCCCAGCACTCTCTTGACCTCTGCAGGAACAGAAGAAAATCTTAAAGCACATGAATTAATGAATCGCATAATGTCGTAAGTCCTAGTAATGCTTATATTCGAGCAGGGTTTTGAACCAATACTAAAAATCCCCAGAAAATACATTTACCAAAGATGAAAGTAGGACAGATGTATTTTACCACCAAATTGCCTCCAAATTATCATCTCTCTCCAGCATGTAGTTCAAACGTTTGGGTCTCCGAAATCAGTATTTCACTAAGTTTGATCAGACCATTTAGAGTCTGTTCAGACAATTAGAAGGAGGGGGTTCCCTTTGACTACCAAAAAGGTTGTGCTGGCGATTATGGCACCTGAATGCACAAAAGCAACATAAAATGGGAGTTGTAGTAAGGAGGTGAATTGGGTGAAATTAAGTGAATAAAGTGACTGAATCCAACTGAGTATTTGCCCCCTCAGACTAGGAGACTGAAGTCACAAATCCTGTCATCCACTCCCCTCACTATGGAAAGAAGTGAAGAATCAAAGCCAGGAGATCCCACATTAAAACATCTTCCTGAGAAGACAATGCTTGTCTCTTGTTGGTTTGAACTTGTAGGCTCAGTACATTTCTGAATGCAGTCTTCTGATCTGGACACTCAGGAATGGGATAAGCAGCGCCTGGAGAAGTCCAGCAGATTTCAGACATATTCCAAAGGTCATGCATATTTTCTGTCTTAGAGCTCTCTGCTACCATGTGAAGTACTGTGCAATCCATTTCCCCACTATTTCTTCAAGCACACATGGGCAAACTAGGGTTGCCAGTGTCCAGTTGGTAACTGGAGATCTCCCACAATTACAACTGGTCTCCAGTTCCCCTGGAAAAATGGCTGCGTGGGAAGGTTGATTTTACGGCATTATACCCCGCTGTTCTCTCCAGGCTCTCCCCCCCTAAAATCTCTAGGAATTCCCCAACCCAGAGCTGGCAACCCTAGGGTAAATCATTGTCAGGTGCCATATATGTAAGCAATGTTCCCTCTAAGTTGTGGAGTTTTGTGTGCAAAAATTCTACTTTGTGAGCGACTGGCATTAAAGTTGTGAGCAAGTGATTTGGCTATTGCATACATTAGTTTGCTCTGAAGCCATCCTTCCTGAGCTAAGACAAAAATGTGTGAGCTGGAGACTAAAAAACTGTGAGCTAGCTCACACTAACTCAGCTTAGAGGGAACACTGTATGTGAGCCTTTAAAAATGTTTTGCTTGTTATTCAAAATGTTTGCAACCTGTTGTTCCTTGCAAAGTGGGTCTGGAAACACTGCCCTCTAGAGGGAGGTGATTATGACATAGGCTGGGTGAGTGGGTTGCCAGGCAACAGGATGGGAGAAGAGGGGTTAACTCCAAGGGAGAGAGAGTGAGAGGAGCAGAAGTCTGGGTTGTTGGTTTTTCCTTGAGGAGGGGAGGGCTTTTCGATGGAAGAAGAGGTTCTGGAGAAGACAGCCTGTGGAACAGTGCGAAGGGCAGTTGGCAGAAGAGTGGCCATCTTCGGGTGTGGGCCTTTGATCCACAGTGCTCATGGGACTTCTGCTGTTGCAGTGAGGAAAGGCTGCTTCCTTGAACCCATAAAGGAGGGAGACCTCACCACATATTTCACTTCAGCACTAACTCCACAGGGATGTTTTATGCTTGCTCTAATCAGAGGTCATTTCGGGGGGAATCACGGGGGATCGCAGTTCCCCCGAGTGAGGTATGGGGGACGGGGCACATGATGAAGCCCCGCCCCCCGCTTCCGGCCGCCCCGCTTCAGGCCCTCATTCAGCCAGGAGGAGGCAGGAGAAGAGGGAGGGTAAGTTGCTTCCTCCCTGCCTCTCCCCACCCCTGCCTGCCTGGGACCAGGGAGGGCCTTCGCGGGGCTTCCTTGCACTCCCGCCGGCCTTGCAGGTCCACCGCCGGGCCCCTCATGGGGTTCGGCAGTAGAGCTACAAGGCCGGCGCCAGCGGCCGGGACCATTGGGGGCGGGGTGTGTGGCCTTATGACACACTTCCGGTGATGTCAGGGTGTGTGGCATATGCTAATGAGTTATGCTAATGAGTTCCCCTAGCTCTTTTTCTACGAAATGACCCCTGGCTCTAATCTACAGACAGTATCCAGACTTCCCCGGAGCTAATGAATTCAGAGAGTAAAGAGGCTTACTTTTCCCTTTGTCCTGACTTCAGGACACTTAATATACTTTAAACTCCCCAACCCCCTTGTTTTTCCTGCCTTTAAATAAACTCTGTGTTTAAGCAGCAGTTTGGGTTTTGAATGGGGCATCCACAACTCTGTGTCCACTAATTTACCCTTTTCAAGGTTAAAATGGATATACATTTTTACAATTCTCGTATTTTTGGTCTACAAGAGACTATAACCAGCTAAACCTGAAATAATGGACAGACTACAGACATAGGAATTGGGTTTTCTTAAAAAAAAAAGAAAAAAGGTTAGACTGTAACAGAAGTGTATCCAATATAAATCGTAATTAATAACAGAACAAAATTATGAAGGTTTAGAGCATTTCAGTCCCAACAAACCAACTAAGCAGTGTAACAAATGACCTCTGAAAAACACCCCTCACAGCATAATCCTAAACAGTTATACCATTCTAAACTCATTTGACTTCAGTGGACCTAAAAAGTAGTCACACTGGTTGGGGTTTCATTCACAGTCTCCTAACCTTTAATAACTTTATTTGCTTTTCATATCAAACCTGAGGCTATTAAATGTATACACTGTAATTTATTGCTATTCAGACATTTCCTAGTCTGTTTCACACAGAAGCATCATTAAGGTTTCCCCCCCTCCAGATTCCCCAGGAAACTCCCCCCCCTCTCTCCCCAAACAACATCAACTGCCATTGCACTCAATCTTCCAATCATGCCTTTTAATCTAAAAGTCCTCCAGAAAAGACAGAGAACTGCAATTCAGCATTGACTGAGGTAATCTAAATAAATATCCAATTGAATGTGTGACAAATAGCAAGGAAATAAATCTGTATGGATGGCTGTGGAAACCCCCCTTCCCCAAGTGAGGTTGTATTCTCCAAAGAGGAACAAAATAGTACTTATATAGCTGCCAGGGCCTAAACTTGGTTACAGTGTTGACAGCCAACTCTGGCCTGGGATTAAAAAAACATGCAAGTTACATCCAAGCAATTTATCAATTTTTCTTCTGCTTCTTCTTCAGAATCACTAGCCCAGTTCTTCACAAGTGCGTTCTGCCCTGACTGGCAAAGGCTCTCCAAGGTCTTGGGTAATGGTCTTTCACATTATCTCCTACCTGATCTTTTTAACTGGAGATGCCATGGGTTGAATCTGGAATATTCTGCCTGAAAAACAGATGCTCTACCCCTGAGACATGTGCTTTCTGCACAAACGATACTTGCTGATATGTAACTCCTTCTATGCACACTGGATAAACGGAGAGTCTTATTCAACATTCAGAGATCTCAGGTACCCTCTTTTCATACATGTAAAGTAGCATACTGGTTGTTTAAGGGAACTTGCAGTTTGCCTTATACATATGAACACATGAATTAGACTCTTGGGTCCCTCAAGGTCAGTAACGTCTACTCTGACTGGCAAGTGGCTCTCGAGGGTCTCAGGCAGACATCTTTCCCATCACCTACTACTTGACCCTTTTAGAGCCAGTTTGGTGTAGTGGTTAAGTGCGCGGACTCTGATCTGGGAGAACCAGGTTTGATTCCCCACTCCTCCACTTGCAGCGGCTGGATGACCTTGGGCAAGCCATAGTTCTGTCAGAGCTGTTCTTGAAAAAGAACAATTTCTGTCAGAGCTCTCTCAGCCCCACCTACCTCACAGAGTATCTGTTGTGGGGAGGGGGAGGGAAAGGAGTTTGTAAGCCGCTCTGAGACTCCTTTGGGTAGTGAAGGGCAGGGTATAAATCCAATCTATCCTCTTCTTTTTCTAACCGAAGATGCTAGGGACTGAATCTAGGGCCTTCTGCATGCCAAGCAGATGCTCTACCACTGAGCCATGGCCCCTCAAACATACATAACAAAGTATGTTTTTAGTAGCATGCATACAGATTCAGCAAGAATTGATATGCTGAGTTTTTAATAGATTTACAGAAAAGCTCTTGTTTGTAAAATAGTATATAATTGCTAGAATCAAATGCTCTTTACCTGAGAAAAGTACTAACACAAATTCTCAAAATACAAAATTATAGCTTTTCTGTTGATACGAACCATGAAATGTCTAAATGCGTGTCCATAATTTACCTAAACTGGTAGCTTTGTCTTTACAACAGAGTAACCTTGAACAGATGTAAACTTGCAGAATTAAGGGTACAGTCTTATGTACACTTACGTGGGAGTAAGCACTATTGAAGATAGTGGGACTTATTTCTGAGTACACATGCACAGGATTGTGCCACGTGTGGTCTATGAATCACAGACTTTGGTAGTGCTCCTAGGGCTATAGAATAAAAATTCTATTTAAATGAAAGGCACTGGATTGCTAGCAATTCTTAAAAGAAACAGGGTGCAAATCTATCATGATTCAGGATAAATACACCGTAGAACAAATCCAGGTTTTTTATCAGAGCGTGTCTACTGCAAAGGGGTTTTAAATAACTTGGTTATGCTCAGAATTCTATCTAACAGAAGGCAGCTTATTCTAGATGCCGATTATTAAAGTACTTTGCAATCATTTGCGCCTGAGCTGCTTTATTTTCCCTGCCTCAAATGCAGAACCTGCTTATTTGGCAGTTTCTCAAGTTACTCCCCTCAGGCAGCTTGAGCCAGTAAAACTAGATCCTTTCATCTCTGTAGAGCTTACTGACAACCAGCCGTCTGGTTTCCTAGGAAACAAAATCTTGGCTAGAAATAGTGAATCATTTCCAGGTCACTTTCAACATGGAGAGTGGAGCAGGAAGGCACTGGACTGAAGAGGAGGTTAAAGCCTTGTTAAGCGTCTGGTCAGAAAAAAATATCAGAAAGCAACTCCATGGAACACTGAGGAATAAAGGGATATTTATTTACATTGCTAAAA